CTCGTTGCGAAATTTAATCGTCGCTACTTGTAGAGTGTAGAATATTACTTAAATCTCTCACTCAAAGTCGCTGAACTCGTTGGAATCATTCTTTCAATGACGCATGCAACAGGAAGTGGCAAAGAACAAAGCTGACTTCCAAATGTGTAATTAGTATCCCGATAATTACGAATCAGCGTGGATGAGATGAGTTTCTGAAATTCGTAACTCTTCGATAGGGGAAAAGAACCAGATGATTTTATCTGTTTCCACGAGGTTTACAGATTTTCTTACAGTCAGATGCGCGATAGGGAGATGGAGAGAAAAGGAGCCGATGAAAAGAAACGTGTCTACTGGTGAATTCATCGGTAATCCTATCTAGCAGATCGTTCTTTAGACGCAGGAACAGTAATGTCAGGTCAGAGGACGTATTGTATGTATCGGATGGTTGAAAGGCAACTTTTGCGAATGGTATTCTGGCGTGATGCATCTGGCGTGATTGTAGAAGGTCCGATGCATAGTGAAACGTTTCAAGATCTAAAATTTAGCCGAGGCAAAACGCGGCTTGTGACGGCGACAGCCCCGAGGAGGAGGGACAAAATTGAAGACCGTACTCAGGGACGTAGATAGAAACAAATGAACCATCATGAAAAGCGTATGAAGACACGACGACCGTCTAGAAACAGCCACCATTTGCATAAATTTTACGAAACGTGGCACTCGCGTGTATGTGCTCTGGGAAAAAACGACCGACGTATGGGTGAATTCTGATGATATTAACTGCGTCAGTTGCAGGAAGATTGTACACTATCGCGTGGATGTTACGTTACTGAATGTTATCTGTCTCCCGCATAATCATTGTGCTGGACTGACAGGGACGACTCAAAGAAAGGCATTGGTTTGAAGCGTATGATTAAATTATTCAACCAAATGGCCATAGAATGTCATCAAGTGATATATAATGGAACGTCCTTTTCGACACTCTATGTAGCGTACGTTTTTTACGTGGCAAAAGTAAAAATATTATGATCACGATATATATAGTGAGAAGATCATGACGAAGTCTATAAACCACGAACGAGAGTTTTATCAAATTTTTACCACTTGGCTGTAAAGCAAAGACTCGACGATATTTGGCGACATTTCCTGCAAACTTTCTAAGACACACTTTAATTTCATTTTCTCTTATTCCATTAATTTTTTACATCTTTCCAATATCAGGTGTTTCAGATTCCTTCAATTACGATTGTCGATAAGAGGACGCTGTTACAGGAATCTTCGTCTCCAAGTTCAGCTAAGGTAGGTATCTTTGAAGTATGTATCGACCGAAGGTACAATGAAACTACTAAATGTTCTGTTTTATCGGTTGGTTCAACGCTGATGCGCCAAATTAGAAACGAAGCGAACGTCAGAGACAATTTTGTCACCCGTTGGTAGATACATTTCACGATCAATAATGAATATTGTAATGAATTTGTAATCTCACCTCCTTCGTCGGTCATTACGGAGATAGTAGTTGCAGGACCATGACCTTCTGGGTTGAACACTTGTAACGACACCAGGTATTGGGTATATGTTTGCAGATTGCGGATTGTGTGATTCTATAATGAAACAAAACATGCCAGATTTATCAAATCGAAGACCGGTGACGTAATATTGTATATAGTATCAATAGTGAAACAAATTTGAACGATTTCTTACGTAACTTACGTCAATGGCTGGATTACGGATGTACACTTCTTTTTCTTCCATATACGGTTTGTCCCGAGGTTTATAGCCGATTCGGTAACCAAGGAATTCACCGTGGATGGTGTCAGGACTGGGCGCCTTCCACGCCAAATAAATCGACGTGGCGGACGTGTTATGGGCGCTGGTAATTATAGGCTTTCCAGTCGGCACTGAAATAGGAAAGAAAAGAAAAAAAAGAAAACAATAAAACATAGATGCATTAATACATTTTAACTTTCAAACACGTCGTCGGGATGTATTTGAAATTTTATCGATATTCCATTCCACGGAGCATCATGAAAAACATCCCTCTCAATGGAATATTTACCTACTCGATGATTTTCATTAATGCATATTTTCATGAATTTGCCTGTTTGCCAAACAAACAGGTACTTTCCCCTCCCTCCCCCCCCAAAAAAAACAAAGAGTGGGGGGGGGAAGAATGAAAAATATCGTCAGCGTTCTGTTTCGAATACCCGATTGAACTTCGAAAATGCACTTTAAGCCTCATGATGATCGCGTTAAATTTTACAATTAAAATTTACAATTTACATCGACTCGACTTTACCCGTGTTTACTGTTAAAGCTGCGGATTAGAGAAATATCTTGGTATCGGGGATTAATGATCGACATCAAAGAATGGTCGTGTGAAGCTACAAGCCTCGACGAGAAAAAGAAAACGATGTATCGAATGTAGTAGCTAAAGGAAGAGGAATAATAGAGGAACAGGGAGCATGGAAACGGACGAATCAACACGAGTGTCATTGAAGTTTCATTTCTATCGGATAAAAACATATTTGCAATGATTGTTGGACGATCGGTTCGCAATAAATATCGGATCGATCGCATTTATTTTCCAACCCCCGGTCATCGCCGCGGAATAAAATTCGAACAAGCACGCTTAATCGCATTTCCCATTATTCCCTCCCTATCCTCCCCTCCCTTCCCCCCCACCCCACCCCACAGCTCCAGGTACATGCATTTCAATGGATCCTCCGCCCTCTTCCACACCGTAATATTTTCAACAATTGATAGCTCTCCACTCGTTTAAAATTCGAGCCCGTGTAATTTAATACTTTTCGCATAATCGAATTTTCCCGACTGATCGGAACGTACTATCGGAGCGCATTCGAAAATAATAGCAATTACGTCGAAGAAATATACGATACGATCGGGCTTATTTCATCTCGTTCGCTCTATTTGTCACAAATGTCTCGAAGAATTTATCGACCGATGCCGTCGCGGAAGCGCCGAATGAAATGGAATAGAATTTCCATGCGATCCCAATTTTCTCTCTCTCTCTCTCTCTCTCTCT